TCGAAGCAGATTGCTTGGTATTGATACCACAAAGTATCGCCTTGGAAAATATCGATGCTCGTAATATCGATCTTTTTAAAAATTGTGGATGACACTGGCAAATAGAAAAAAATTGAAGTTGAAGAATGTCGCGTTAAAAGACCTTAAACATTCAGATTCATTCACGTGAGGATATCCCAGTATTGTTTACAATTTGCTACAGACCATTCTATAGATTGCGCCACTTTCAATCATCAAATTTGTCAATTAAATTACGTAAGGGAAAATTGAGATAAGTTATGAATATTCAATGTCATTCACATTACGTTTTGCACAGAATTATTATTTTCTTCATTCGACGGTGGAACGTCATGAGAGTCACTAGGGAATGATCAAATTTCACGAGGGTCAAACTCTACGAAAGCCACAAGGGAGATGATTAAATTTCATCAGTCAACCGACACGAGGGTCATATGGGAATGGTCAAATTTTACGACGATCACAAGGGGATGGTCAAATTTCACAAAAGTGAAATGGCACGATTCAAAAGGAGATGGTCAAATTTCACGAGAGTCAAGCAGCACGAGAGTCACACGGGGATGGTCGAACTTCACAAGAGTCAAACGTCATAAGGGTCACAAGAGTGTGGTCGAATTTCACAAGTGTCAAACGTCACGAGGGTCTCACGGGAATGGTCAAATTTCACGGGATGGAAACGGTACGAGGATCACAAAGAGACGATCAAATTCCACGAGAGTGACCCGACACAAGGGTCACAAGAAGATAGTCAAATTTCACGAGGGTCAGACAGCAAGAGGGTCGCGAGGAGACGGTCAAATTTCACGAGAGTCAACCGACACAAGAGTCATACGGGGATGGTCAAATTTCACGAGGGTCAAATGTCACGAGAGTCACAAAGGAATAATGAAATGTTATAAAGTTTGAATGTTCCAATGGTCATTTTCCACGAAGGTCCAACGTCAAAGGAGCGAGGAGCTAAGGATCACAAGAGTCACAAGGAAATACGATGCTTCAACGATCTTTAAGAATCACATGAAACAATCTCCAACCCTTTGTAGGAAGGATAATGGTGTTCATTATTCAAGTTTATTGAATTTTTCACAGAATCATTTCGGGCCCTGAAAAGTTCAAAAATTGGCGATCTCCCTGTGACTTTCGTACTGACTCGTAAATTTGATCGTCCCCTTGTGACCCTCCCAGTTTGATCCTTGTGAAAATTGACCGTCCCCTTGTGTCGGTTAACTGCCGTGACATTTGACCGTCTCCTTGTGGCCCTCGTGAAAATTTGCCCCTCGTGGAATTTGACCATCTCACGGTGACCCTCGTTACGTTTGACCCCTGTGAAATTTGACCATCCCCTTGTGACCCTCGTGCTGTTTGACCCTTGTGAAATTTGATCGTCCCCTTGTCTCGCTCGTCACGGTTGACACTTGCGAACCTTGTCTCCGTGTGACCCTTGTGACTTTTAACCCTTGTGAAATTTGATCATCCCCTTGTGACCCCCATGACCTTTGACTTTCGTGAAATTTAGGCATTCCCTTATGACCCTCGTGACGTTTGACTCTCGTGAAATTTGACCATCCCCCTGTGACTCTCGTGCTGTTTGACACTCGGGAAATTTGATTGTCCCCTTGTCTCGCTCGTCACGTTTGACCCTTGTGAAACTTGATCATCCCCTTGTGACTCTTGTGACTTTTGATCCGTGTGAAACTTGATCGTCTCAATGTGACCCTTGTGACTTTTGACCTTCGTGAAATTTGATCATCCCCTTGTGACCTTCGTGACGTTCGACCATCGTGATGTTTGACCCTCTTGAAATTTGACCATCCTCTTGTAATCCTTTTGTCCCTTCTGATATTTTGACCCCGATGAATCATCTTATTCTTGTGACCTCCTTGGTCTTTAAATCCGTTATGAATATTTTTTAGATTAATTTTTTTTCTCATTACTTGTCCCTGAGAAAATAGCGATCCCAACCCAGAAATATCGATACACCCAATATCGCGATGCGCAAATATCGATACAAAATATCGAATATTGGAACAAAAAATATCGATACAAGTAAGTATCGATACTAGATCGGGAAACACTAAGTCAAGCCAAGGTTAACCCAAGGCCAAGCTAAAGTTGACCCAAAGTTGACCAAAGTCAATGCAGAGTTTGCCCAAAGTTGACTCACGTTCAACCTTTATATTGATCTTTCTAGGCTGCAATGGATGGCCAGGAGTCGATTTTCACATTTTTCGCTTTTTTTCGGCTCCTGTTCCTAGTTAATTTTAAAAATTTCCGTTCACTAGAAATTTAATTTCAAATTATCTTTGAAAAAAACATATATTAAAATTGTCCTGGGATTAATTTTTAATTCCGAAAAAATTGATTGCAAATAAAGAGATTACCAAGAATTACAAATCCAATTCTCAATTTTCAAAAAAGTTGATAATATTGAGAGGGGCTAGCATAAAATGCATTGTAGTCCTCGGTGCTCCAATCTTCAACTAACTCTCAATTTTCTCTCAAACACTGGAAATTATTGAAAGCCCAACTATCAACTTGGTTCGCCAGAGTCATTCCTATAATTTTCTCGAAATCCGGAAGATTTTCTTGGAATTTTCTCGAAAACCTAAGAATTTGCAAGAACCGCATATGAAAAAATTTAATAGAAAAATCTTATGAATTCGTTAGGGATTTCTATTGCAGTTTGTTTTGAATTTTCTACTAGTTTTTGGCCGATACTAGTAAAATGTCCAATAGAATATATTCAATAGAACAAGTCAGTGCAATTCGATTTTCCTATGTAACTTATTCTCTTCAGATATTTTCTATACAATGTCCTTGGCTCAAATTTTCTACCATTTTCCTTTTGTTCTCATCAAGAAAATCAAACAAAAAAAATTAGAAAATTTGAAAAGAGGAAATTCTATAAAAAATTTCTCAATACAATAAGTTATATAGAAAACAAATCGAATTCTATTGACTTTTTCTATTGAATATTTTTTGTTAAACATCTCAATAGAATCGGCCAAAAACTAATTAAGAGTTCAATAGATGTCCAATAGAAGTTTCTAACCAATTCGCTAGGTAAATATTTCTATTTGCCCGCGATCACTCGCGCTCGGCCGCCAGCCTTCGTTTATCGCACGGTTGGCGCCAAAGAGGATAGACCTGAGTAGAGGCCCGGATGGGGGGTTTGACTGACTCCAAAAATGTTAGTTGGCACCCCACGGGAAAGGCGGCGTCCCGGTCGAATTGTCGGTAAATGTGAGTCGGGTGCGTGAGTAACTCGGCAGTAGCAGTCCTGCTGAAACAGGGACAGGTTCGGAGGGGGATTTTTGTCCTCCTTGTACTCAATGTTTACTTTATGTTTTTCAGTTGATTTATTCGCCGACTAATTAATATTAAGGGATGAAACAAAGACTGTTCAATGGAGAATTAAATTCCCCATCCATCAACCCCCGTTTCATCCCTTAATCTCTGCAATAAAAAAATTAATATTGCGACGAAAGTCACGG